GACTACAGCTATATTAATATAGTGTTTGTCAATTTAGTATTTTAATTTTCGTTATTTAAAGAAATGTTACATGATTGTTCTTTTGACTTTATAATTACTGAATAGACAGAACTTGCTGAATGTTCAAATAATTCAAAAAAAAAAAAAAAAAAAAAATAACCAAAAAAAAAAAAATTACCAGAGAGTTAGTATTACATATCTATTGAGATATTGCAGCCATCTAAGCATCACATCATTATATAAAATTTACACTAGGTATACAGTATTATTACTTTCCCCATCATAGATGGTCAACACAGGTACTGTACTGTAATTAAAAGGAGGAGTGCTTGTTTACAGGCTGTTTGCCATGTTATAACATCATCATGAATGCAGTTAAACTTTTGGAATAATCCTGTTACAAACTCCTACTAAGCGTACAGAAAAAACGGGAGCACAGATGGTTAAGACAATTAGAAGTATATAAAGATTTTATCACAGCCTTTTGTGTAAGGTACAAAGAGACATATTCTAGAAATAACCAGGAAACAGTTGTTACCACAATTAACACCCAGACAAAGGCAACAAATCAAATCAGTAACTTACACAGATGGAGGCATGATTGTTAAAGTGGTTATCAAAGGCCCACAAGATTGCAACCAAATGAATCACTGTGACAATAACAAAAGGTACAGACGATCAACTTATTATAATCAACATTATTTATTGATCAAGCTTATTTACATGTTTCTTAAATTCCAAGCAAAATAAATTAATTCAAACTATAATCTAAATTCCAAAACACAAATACATTGCTTTTCAGTTACACACAAATTCATAATACTCTTAAAAGGAAACAAAACAAAATGTATCTATGACTGAATGATAGGTATTTTCAAGGCAAAACCATTACTAATGCCCATGCTGATATATTTAGGACATCCATTTATAACCACACATATACAAGTATAAAAACTAGCATTAGTAATGGCCAAACTGGTCTCTAAAAACTATACTTTTTTATATCACATCAACACCACCCTCTATACCTTTAATGGATGCAATTTTATAGTCAATGTGATTATACCCCATTCTGTATGTATACAGGTACAAAAACAATAAAATACAAATAGCTACACAATTTTACAAAACATCACTCTTTCAGTGACATTTTTTAGTGAAAAAATAATAACACATTAATCAAGATGCTTGAATAGTCAAAATTCAGACTTATAAAATTATTGTTATATAGTTTGCAGTCTAAGTTATTTAAAATATAAACGTCAAAATGTATTATTAAAACATTTGCCTTTCACATACAGTATATAAACTCAATGAAAACTGAAAAAAAGAAGACTTTATCTTAATTTGAACTTGACATTTTAATTTCTGAAGTTTAGTTGCACAAAAAAAATTTTAAAATTCAACAATTTATCTTAAGTTAACAACGAATCAAAAAATACAAACAGCAAAACTAAGCCTTACACATAACCAATAATAGGAAATATACTAACTCAAAGTTAAATTGATAGTCAGCAAATTTTAATAATAAATAATAAAATATAAACAAGTTAAAAAAATGTTTTATATATATTAAAATTTGTGTAGTCTGCCAAAGCAAAATGCAAAAGTATGATTTTTCAATGAAGAATATATCCAGTAAGTTGAAAATAGATAAGATAAACAACATTTTACCAGTACATTTATCATCTAAAATAGATGAACAGGTCTCATATTCACCTATGTAGTTTCACACCTTGACACAAAAAACAATCAACTATAGTACTGGAATCCTAAGTGACTGGAGCTACTTCAATTTATTGAAAATCCAAACAAAGCAGCGAGTCATCTTAATAAGATGTGTACACAGGTGACAAACAGTTCATCTATAAAAATAGGTATCCAGTGCAAAAAATAGCTAGGCCATCACAACTGTCCTGGAAGTCTGTCCACCTCGGCCGCCTCGTCCACCTCGCCGGCCACGTCTACCTCTCCCACCATAGCCTCTCTGTCTATTACTCTGCTGTTGATATGAGTTGTTCCTATTTTGCTGCTGAAATGTGTGTAACTGTTGCTGCGCATAACCAAAATGATCACTTGGGTTTCCAGCATAATTCATCTGTTGACGTGACCTGTCAATCAAAATCAAAGACATTTACTCTGAAATGTTCATATTATTATGATCAGTTGCGTACCTAATTCTTCTTTGAACTTTAGCTATTTGACAACACAGCTAAATCATGATTGCAGCCACAACACTTTTCATTGTAACTCAGTTTTATAGTACAGCATCTTGAATGACACAACCCCCTCCAATACTCCAGTTCGGGTATACACGATGAAAGATGGAAAAATGGTGATATTACAAAAGTGAGGTACCATGGCATGTAAACAATATGAAGCAGCCTGAATGCATTCATGAATAACCTGTGTTGTTAACCAGCGAACACTGGAATAGGAACGTATGGTAAGTAAACATCAACCTCCTTATGAGTTTGAAAATCAATCAATGGAAACGTAACGTTAAATTACTTTATTAAGCATTGTGTTGCAATACAGTTTACTTACTGTTGCATAGGCCTATTGCTTCTGTTAAAGGAAACTGTCAGTTGAGACCCTGAAGGGGCTGGCATGTTCCCATTGTTACCTTTCCGTCTAGGGAAAAAAAAGTGAAAATGGTCACACCTTCGCAAGATGGATGGTAGATAGACATGTAGCTAAATGGATAGATAGGGAGGCTGCTGACAGACAAAAGCATAGGCAGGCCACTGACTAGTCGGATGGATAAAATTTTGTCTGCTATTATCATTTCATTGTTCAGTTTCTTAGCCACCTCCTACTGTAGAATTTGATCTTGTAGTAGTTTGACTGATGTTGTTTTATGTGAATCCTAAGTTAAGGGACAAACAGTAAACCCCTATTAAGGGACACCATTGGGGACAAAACTGTGTCCTCTTAATAGATTCGTCTCCTGAACCAGAGATGTCTCCTGAATATGAATAGGGGTTGGCCATAGTGTTAACAGATTTACTTTCCCTTTTTCAAAAGTGTCCCATTAATAGAGGTGTCCTTAAGGAGGGGTTCTACTGTACTTTATACACCTTATTTTAACTATTTAACTAAAGTTAATTTTAAGAATATGAGTGTTTGATTGTAAAAAAAAAAACAGTTGGTAGCACTGTAATAACAACAGTAACATTTATATCTTCTGCCCCAATAGATTAGGTTAAGTATTTGATTTGTTAGTGATTTATCTAACCTGTTAAATCGCCTTCCTCTTCTTGATTTCTGTGCATTCACTTCTTGTTGCCATCCCTGATTCTGCTGTGGCCAGCTCTGTTGTTGCAGCTGTTGGCGCCTCTGTTTCTGCCGTTGCCGCCTTGATAGTTGTTGAGGACCCTGTGTTTGAAATGTACTAAGTTGATTATTCATTTGATGTTGTGGTTGGCGAACAAATCTTCGATTTCTTTTCTTTTTCTGTCCCTGAACTGTCTGTTGCTGCTGTTGTGCAAAATTCTGTTGTGTTTGGAATGCTTTATTTGGATTACTGGTGGGCTGGTATGGCTGTCGGACAAATCTTCGATTTCTCTTTTTCCTTCTGGTTTCTGGAACAAACTGTTGCTGTGTTTGTATCTGTTGCTGTTGTTTTTCAACCAAATTTTGAAGCTTCTTTGCTTTGGACTGCAATTGTTTTACCTGAGCCTAGAAATGAATCAAGATTCAAAAAACTTTATTATCTATTTTAATATTCAATTTGTCATTGATAAAAATAAAAAAATATACCCAAAAATGACAGAGAAAAAGACTATTAATCTTAAAAAGGTTAACAGTCTCTTTCCTCTTAAACAAAACAATATCAATTAGAGACAGTTTTTAGCATCAGACCACAGGTAGAATATAAGAATTTATATAAAATTTGCTTGATCATTGAGGCTAGACTAGAAATTTACAATAATAAAACGGACAAAATTTGGAACAATGCTTCGTAAAGAATATCAGTATGTAATACAGTACAAATTGGTCTATTATTATCTCACTAGTCAGTAGATTGTCATCCCATCTCAACAAATTATATAAATACACTGAACTAAATGACAATGCTTTGTAAATAATCACAGAATATTAATAATATAATAATAATAATAATATTTAATTAATTGAAATGTATTTTTAAATTATCATTATTCTTTTTACTCATTAACTAAAAATATTAAAATTGGGTTCATAAAACAGTTATTTTTTAATAACAACACATTCAACATATCAGTAATAACTTTTATTTTAGTGAAACTTCTGAAATTATGTGCTCTATAAGTGTAGCTTTATATATTACCTGTATTCCCCTGCGTTGGGCCAGCAGTGACTGTCTTGCTGTACCCTGTCTCTGTAACTGTGCCTGGGCAGCCTGTTGTGTTCTTTGCTTAGCCTTAGCCCTTAGTGCTGCCAATTTAGCTTTCTTTATACTTTGCCTTGTTGAAGTCTAATAAAAATGAAATTAATGACGTTTGTGTTTAAAGACATTTTTCTTTCATTATCAATTCTACTTAGATGATGTGACAACTTGATTGATTGATAAGAGACCAGAATGGACCTCCAAAAAGAGTGTAGGGTAAAAAAAGGTAACAAAGAGCACCCCAAAGCCCTTGCAAAAGATTCTTCAGCATAGTTATGTGGTCATAATGTAAAATCAAAATGTAAACAGTTCAATAATCAGAGTAATCTATGGGATATTTATTTCATATGAGAAAGAAATACGGGGTGATTTGATGGCAGTGCCGCACATGATTAAAATAAATAATAAAATTCAATTAAATTTACTAATGCTCCAAAGAGCCATCAATGGTACATTAAAAAAAGCACCTCAATACAAAAAAGTTCTCTTCTAAAATCTTTATTTTGTCACAGCTATGGTTGCGATAACAGGACAAAAATTTAATTTCATTATTGGCAGCAGATGAATTTGAAAAACAAGGTAATAATAAAAGTCTTGCTTTTAAAGAATAATATTTTTGAGTCCAAGATACTTCATTTACAAAATGTACCTGGTAGCTAAAATTAGACTGGGATTGTCCTAGTTTCTTTGTTGACACGCCACCTCCTTTTGTTGCATACTTTGATCGAAGTGCGCCAATCTTGCCCTGAGTTTTGAAACCCGGTTTCTTAATAGCAGTCGCTTTTTTTTTCTGGGCTATTGATTTCTTCTTCACTTTTCTGTTCAATTTAATGATATCATCTGAGTAGGAAATAACAAAAGAAATATGAGATGATTCAGCAATTTATATAAAATGCAACAATTCCTTAGTAACTTAAACGCTAAGAGTAGATCTATTTCCAACCCTTTGCCTAGGCCTAGGTTTTGCTACATCATGTCAAGAGGTTTCAGTGTAAAAATTTGATTAGCCAAACAAAAGTATTTTATTTATAATACAACAATTCCATCCTTGGCTTTTCGGTTAGGCCTGACGGGCCTATCCTACTAGCTAGGGCCCCTAGGGCCTACTACCCTTAAGCCTATCTATATCCTAAGTACAGTTAGTAGGCCTAGGCCCCTAGCTAGTCCTAATTTTAATGAAAATATTTAGGGCCGCCCTAGCTAGGATAGGCCTAGTAAAATTCAGCTTTCATTGTTTAGGCTATGGCAGCTTAAACACTGCTACACAGGCAGACCTACCTAGGCCAGAACACCTACATAAGCTAGCCGGTAGGTAGCCTAGGACCCTAGAGTACCTAAACAAGCCTAGCCCTAGAGTACTGTACAGTGTAAGTAGGCCTAGCCTAGGCCTTGAGGGTAGGGAGACGAATTAGCCTAGTCGTCCTAGCCCAGGTAATTAGGACTCCAGTTATTTATTAGGCCAGCCTAGCGAGAAAAACAATGATATAGTTTCGCTTGCGTGTATGAAATTCACACAAGATAATCGACAATCAGTTGAGAACATTTAGTTTCCATACCTAAACTCATGTCTATCTTCTCCATGTTGTTGCCTGGAACTTATATGAAGCAAAACAACTCAAAAACTTATACGAGAAATTACTAAACAGCAACAACAGCCACATCAAACGTAAACCCACACAACGTCACGTAAAGTAGCGCCACCAAGTGACTTGACGAAGGACTGCATGATGCTGCATGCAGAGAACTTCTTTGCATTTCATTCCCTTATTTGGTCTGGTAAAATGTGTTAAAAACCATAACTTCGTTCATTGCAAAATCTTTAAAAACCACGTCCTGGTAAAATCTTTAAAAACCATACAAAAAATATAAAAAAATAAATAAATAAAGAAACACAGATCATTCAGAGTAAATACCACCTTTTAAATATTTTATTTCGAAAATTAAATGAATTGTGAAAATGAAAATTAATTTTAACTTACTATTTGTTTAGGCATACCAAATCTTAAGAATTAAAAATCAATACATAGATCTCTACACAGAAAGAGATACCTTAGGCAAGGTTTTTGTGGAATTCACAACAAAATGCTGGACCCTGGGAAGTCCGCACTATACTCAGACCATAGAGAAAATAGAACGTGGTCTCTTGCTCAGACACACCACTTGTGGCTGAGAAAAATTTTAAGAATATGGCTAGGTGGCCATAAATGCATATTTTAAACACTGTAGATGCGTAGGCATATATGATGCATGAACAGTAAAGAAGGCGTGGCTTTTAACTATCATAGGCCAGACATGGGACCGGATCCAGGCATGTCCGAAATGGGGGCGGGGGGTCAATTGAGAGACATCACTACCCTAGAGGGTCCGGTGCATGCCCCCGAGAAATTTTTGTTAGACGCCCAGAAAAACTCCTCTGATGCGTTTTGGATGATCATAACTTCTTTTTCTTTCTTTCTTTTAACTTGAATCTGACTAAATGGGGGACACTCTGGTGAGTACAGTATAATATAATGTTATTTAGTCGGGGATCTGGGTGGATCTCATTCAAATGGCATGGGACACATAGTGAGAATTTAAAGAATTCATGTCAGTTCAGTAGGGCAAGGACCGATTTTGAAGTAAAACCTTCATGTCATTTTCAAATCAATTTTTACATAATATTTAGCCTAACGTCCTCTCTCTGTTGTGCAATAGTCCCTAATAATTTTAATCAATTCTTTTTTAATTAATTAATTAATTAAACTTCATCGTATGCCTCATATTCTAATTTCATTTTTTTTTTGTATTTTGGAGGATTTAGTATTTTTAAATATATTCATGTACATTCTTAATGTACTTTTATAGACTTTAAATATCACTTTTTATATCTTATATTAATTTATATACTCTGCCCTTTACCCCGTATTGTAATTTTACTTATTAAGAGACACTTGGAAAGTGTGAAATTGATAATAACGAGTGAATGAGGTCAAAGATATACGATCTGCGAAACAACCTCACACCTTCGAGTTTAGGTACGTTTGAATTGGTCGACTTTTTCACTGTTCTTCCTCATCATTAATTTTACGATTTGAATGTATGGTCAATACAGCTGTAAAAACCAACGCCGAACATTTCAATTACTACATATAAAGTTAATTGACAAAAATTTCGTTAAAAAAATATATGTCTTCGATAGATATAAACTCTCCAGCAAGCATCTCTCAAAACTTTTTACAGCACAAACCGCGAAACTTAACCACTAGATCCTGTGCTTTATTTTTTATGTTTCGCAGGCTTAATGATGCCAGGAAGAATTTATGGCAGCTTCTGAGATTTCTTTAGCAGCAACACAATTAGGACCATTATACGCCGACACCCATGAATTCTCCTCAAACATCTGAATGGTTGCTCTGTTGTCTTCGTCAACTGTTAGAGCAGACATCACAACCTCTTTGCATTGGTCACTGATGCTTTTTCCCAGAGGCCAGAATGGACCTCCCCTTATCTTCTTCCGCACACTTTTCACGTCTCCACTACCGAATGGAAAGGTTTCTGTCAACATGAAGAAAAGCATCACTCCGATCGCCCAGACATCTGCAGCCTTTAAGTCACATGTCACAAAGTCAAGAAGTTGTGGTGCAGCGTATGTTGGCGAGCCGCAGAATGTATGTGGTTGAGCGTCTCCTCGAAATTTATCCAAAGAAATGTCCTTACTAAATTCGAAATCTATCAGCTTAGTGCGCACGAAACTGCAACAACACAGAACAACATTCGAGCACTTAAGATCACGATGGACAATGTCTATGGCATGCAGATAAGACACTGCGCTGACGACCTCTTTGATCAGGCGATTACATTCTGTTTCACTCAAAGAATGATACTTGTGGACATGCTCTCGGAGATTCCCTTGATGCTCAAATTCTAATTCCATCACAACAAAGTGCTCGCTCTCAAAATAACTATAAAGTTTAATGATATTTTCATGATCTAATTTCTCCAGCATCTTAGCTTCATGGAGACAGTTCCATTCGATATCGCCAGTGGATTCGTCACGTCGGTTTTTCACAATACATTTCAATACTGCTTTTTCATTTGCCGGCTTTTTGCGATAAGCAACGTGGACAAGTGAATACCGGCCTTGTGACATGGGAGCACCGGATAAAACATCATAAGAATACTTGCTACATAAATCACGGAAAGCCTCTAGCATTGCCATTTTACCAGCGGCGTAGGAGTTGGAGACCAATGCTAGACAACACCGATAGATTTTAGAAAATCTGTAAAAAGCACACTTTATCTGTTGCCATGTGCGATGAGAATACCTTGGTTATAGTCAAGACGCGGGCGCCGCAACACACGCACACAAAATCCTTCTGGTGACGTAACCCAAACCGGCTCAAGATTTAGTACCGTACAAAATTTTGATTTCTTTACTGGCTGTTTGTAGTAATAAAAAATCTGGCCATTTGCTAAGCATGCACTGTAAAAAACGCACTGACCTGAACGGTATTTATTATCCCTAACCGTGTTTTACGAATATAAAGCTGTCGTTTGTTGTTTTAAGATACAATGAGCCGTGCGTTTCTGAAGAAATTAAATATTTACGAAAGAGATATGAACCCAATATTGTAACAAAAGAAATGCCAATGATGATGATATGAGGATCGGGTAGGATTGACGTCGAGCAATGCAAACACTTATCCAATCATTTTCATAGCTTTGCGATAAATAATCGACCTACTACAGTAGTCTAATAATATTTGCGTTAGACATTAAAAGTTATTTTTACACTATCTTCTTTTTTGAATATTTGTTATACACTACATCGTGTTTCTATATGCTTTTTTGATTTGCAAAGTTGAATTACTAGCATATCGTTCATGTTACATTGTTAAAGTAACGGGTAAATCTTAACGTTCACAAAGGGTTGATTATTAATATAATTAATCATACCGTAGTAATTAAAATGTGGTAATTTGCATTTGCATACAGATAAATATATATATATATATCAGTAATTAATTTAAATGGTATATTTGTTTGTCGTTTTTAAGAGGAAACGAAATAATTGGGATGTTAATAGTAATAAAATTAGTTAAGAGCTTTTATTAAAATGAAACCTTTATCTAATACTTCAGTTGCGTATCTAGGGGTTAAAATGGTGAGGCCGCCGAAATGGAGGGAGGTGACGTGCTCGAAGATAAAGTGAAGGAAGTTAGCTGGAAAAATTAGGTGATAGGTCCTATTACAACTTAAAAAAAAACAATTTTTGGCATGCTGTACAACAGAAAGCCAAGAAAAGCATATTTGATGAAAAACTCGGGAACGGTTAATAAGATACAGATTTTTGAATATTCGAAAACTGGGGAAAAAGCTGGAAAAGGGGTGGTTACGCTCCTTTTTCTACATTTTTAATAATTTTTTTTTTTTTGTAAATTAGTTGTACAACATATCAAAAACCTCTGGAGCCTGGCTTAAAGCATAACTTTTTTGCTTCAAAAATTTTCGGAGTGGGGAAGGGGAGACTGGGGTGGGGCTAATGGGAAGGGGTAATGGAGAAAATTGGGAAAATGTGGGAAATTATCTCTGGTAAAATCGGACAATGTTAAAAAAAAAAGTGAGAACATTGAATTATTGCAAGGGATCAAATTTCCAATGAGACACAGAACAAGTAATTCAATTTATACAGATTTTAATACGAAAATTCTTAAAAATTCATACCAGCCAATGAATGGTCTATACACAGAATATAGTTCTCTATTAGGATCTAGGTCAGATTGCTGAAACCCAATTTGCCAAGTCAAAAACCATGGAACCCAGTCTATAGATCGGTGAACTGGTATTCGGCAAACTGGGTTTCAGCAAAGTGGACCCAACAAACTGGGTTTCGAATACACTCTATTATTATGCATCTGTTACTTGCCAACAGTTCTTTGTATTTGCAACTGAAAGCTGATAACTTACTAAAATCTACAAAGCAATTCAAAATTATTGAATTCAGACAGTCATTAAAGATTTGTGTCATACGTTAAATACCCCATACTCCACAATTTGGGTCATATGCTCCACCTCTTCTCAAAACCAAGACCCGTGTCATTATGCCTATTGTTCCCGACATCTGACAGAAGTAATTTTCAGTTGCCAGTCACACAGTCCAGAACTTCAACATCAAATGTTCATGAGTTACTTCTCTTCAAGGCATTAAGAAAACAATAAATATTTTCTTGTTTTCAACCAACCATATTCTAGTTTTATCCTCTTTCTGTTGTTTTTTTAATATATAAGCACCATTAAGCATTGAATGGTTAATATGTAGGTCTATAAACAGAAATAATTCTCATCACTTTAAAACATAATTTCTGTTCCATTTCCAAGCATGAAGTGAACCCTCATTATCTGATGACAGAACAAGATCCCTAACAGTGGGGTGCCAGGTGTGTGATAAAACAAGTTCAGAGTTCATATGGCCATCATGTACAAACACAGGTTTGAGATCCGTAGAAGTTGCAGCATTTTTCAAATCAAATATATAAACCCGATTGTTGAAGCCTGGGAAAGCAATAGAGCAAGGTTTATTTTTTAAGCAAATTATATGCAAGAATTGTAATCAGAGTACAGATGTTTGAACATGCTTCAAAGAAAAAAAAATAACAAAATGATTATGAGTAATACAATGTGAAGATTATGATGATTTCAAAGATGAAACATTGACAGTGATCAAATTTAAATTTTTGGAGCTCTTTTTTCACAATCAATGCTTTTTTGTTTTTGGAGTGTTAAAGCAGAGGTGGCGCCAGGATTTGCCTGAGGTGGGGCTGAGGTCTCCAATGGCAGGCTGTTCCCCTGACGAGGGTTCAGATTTCCCTGACGAAAGCAATATGGGCATGGTCGAGCCATGGAGGTTCCGAAAGTGGTCCAGGGGCGAAGCCCCTGAAAATTTTAACAATTTAGGTGTTTTAAAGGCTTATTTAATCGATTTTATGTAGAAAATACACATAATTTTTTCCTCCCCGACGGGGGTGGGGGGAAGCTCTCCCCGATGGGAGGAAGCTCTGGGCCACCCGGTCCCCCGCTGGCACCACCCCTGTGTTAAAGTGCATTCAACTGATTCCAAATTTTCGGATTGGAAAGCCTAACCAATCAAAAAATCGAATTAGTGTGTAAGAATGGTGACACTAGTGTTCAGTGCATAGGAAACTTGATCCGAATTTTGGTTCAGATCAGATGTAAAATCAGCTTTAATCACTGTAATTTTGATGCATAGATTAAAAAAATGAAATACAGAGAAAAGCAAGTACAACACTGACCTGAAATTGATATTACATCAGACTGATTTGGCTCAAACTGGAAAAAAAAAAGTATAATTGATGATTAATGACAAATTCACTGCAAATACTTACATCTTAATTTGAATCTCTCATGGGATATTATCATCATCATCATCATCATTTTTATAAAGATTATCAAGATCATCACCATTATTCTTATGCTCCTCCTCATTTTGATCATCATCAGTCTGAATATCATCATCCACATCTTCATCATTATCCTCTTCTTTCTCATGTCACTTTTCCCATTCTCTTCTTTAATCATCATTTCATTATTATCATCCCATTCTCACCATCATTTTCCATACCTCTATTACATCATCTTCCTCTGAATAAAGATACAATTCCATAATATTTCATTACTGAACTTGCAAGTCAGTGAATTGTCACTATACCTTCACTTTAAGGTAAGGAGAACTTCCTGATAATACACCAAGTTTCCAAGACTTACAAGGCTTGGTTAAGTTCCTTAAGTCCAGTAGATTCAATTGACCACTAGCATGTAACTGGACAATAGGGTGGTCACTGCCAGCAGAACCACCCGGTGCTACATCAAATATAAAATTCAGACTGTTTGGCTGCTGTCCAGTTGAAGCTATATCCCTGTCTTTAAATACATCAATTCTTGGGGTCATGCAATTTCCAGGGGTCACGCAATGTGCTGAACTGCTGTTACTGTCTACTTTTAGTTGTCCTGCTGGTCTTGATTCTTCAGCCATATTCCCTGTACCAGGTTTATCACAACTGTACCCAATACTCATTTTATTTTCGCCATTTTGGTTTTGAGCGCCTGTCGTATGCGATTTCTCGCGAACATCTACAGTTTGAAAAGATCCTGTTGTATTTGTGGAAAGGATCAGACTGTTGCTATCCAGGAATTTAACACCGCACAACTCTTCACTGCTTCCATCTGGGAATCAATATGTGGAAAGGATGGTTAGGTATGAGATCAGAATACATTTCACTTTGAAAAGTAAGGATTGATTTGTTGCTGACAACACCACGACCACGGCAGAACTACTCAACCTTAAATTCATGGAAGTTGCACTAACAAGTTACAGACCTGTTTCATAAATTGAATCCTGAGAAATAACATCAGTAATGCGTAAACTAGAGCACGATCTGGCAAATGCTAGGTGAGCCTTGTGGTGAGGTCTACGGTCCATTGAAAGCCTATTGGTCGATTCGCATGATTTCAGATTTATAGTAGAAACTTCTTGAATGAGGTCGGAGTTTGCTTGACCTACCATTGAAATAGTGACCTTTGACGCTTGAACAGCTGATGTAGCAACAAGCCTACAAATTTAAAATGATTAATAAAATATGACAGACTTTAAAACATAATAATAAAAAAATAAATTATAAATCAATTTCAGCTTACACTTAATAAATGAGTGATTTATAGATTTTAATTTTATTTATATTTAATTATTTTTAATTTAGTATTCAAGCTGCATTGCATGTGAGTGCTTTTATTTGAGCTGAATGCCAATCAATCTATCAACATTAATTTCTAATTATCTTTCATCATCATACCCACATACAGCATTTCCCACAAATGTGGGACACAAATTGTGTGGATACAACCTTTTGACACCTACATTCAGACCTGACAGAATTTGGTTGTCCTGGCAATAGCATTCCTGAATCAGCGAGCGCCCTCTAATCCTGAGTCACGGTATTTGTTAGGTTGTATATATATATATTTATTTATATTTATATGTGTGTGCCTGTGTTTGTATATTTATATATTCTTATTTGGCTAAAAAGAAAGAAATAAGTGTATTGAATAATTGTAACTAGCTTTTCCTGTGGGCCTCCTATTATAAGCCCACTGGGGTTTCATGGAGGTCCCTTTCATCTTTTATAATTGCTACTATATTGCTTTTTTATATTTTGTGTGTTTTGGTGAATAAATGAAATGAATGAATAAATGAATGAGAGATATGCCGAGCGTATCTAACGCAGGGCTTACGTTAATCCAAGGCATAAACTAGCGAGGCGTCCAGACTGGGCGATCAATGTAATGAAAGCATAAGTACTCGCGCGAAATATATTAAATTCGTAATCACACATTTTCTTTCCTGTTTACATCTAGACTTATTGTGATTGGTTCAAAATCATTGATGCATAACTGTCGTAACTCAGTGGTATACGCTAATCTGGGGTGTGTTGGTGGATTATCGTACAGTAGTGATTACGTGGTAATACTGGTATTCACCATACCGCGCACAAGTTCACAGCACTTGTGTGTTAGCAAAACTCACTGTGTCTGAACATAGCCCAAGTTGGCAGTCAGGCTGAAACAGTTACTCAGCCAGCATAACACCTGAATTTTATGGACCCCTCTGGAAATACTGTAAGTCCCTTAATAGGGTTATAAAAATATCTTTATTTCATTTTTTTTTCTGTTTTGTATATTTCTGTTTGTATGTACAGCTGATATATAAATAAATAAAATCAAATCAAATACCTTTCACCTGGAAACGCTTGTAAACACTGAATAGCATGGTCACAGAAACCACCACATCTGACATCAAAGTCGCGATCCTTATGGATCCCCCCTGCATCAGGATCCACAAGAAGTTTCCCTGGTAACCCCAATTCCAAGATCTCATTCTGTGATGTACCACTGCTGCCGGCAACACATATTGCTGGAAAAATTCAACACAGCTTTTAAAAAAAACATTTTAATGTATGTGTGAAAAAAGAAAATTAACCAGATCTCCAACTTGGGACCCCTGCCATGTATGTAACTTAACTTTAACAATTGGATGACAGATATGTAGGCCTACATAGCTCTATCCATTTGTGGCAAAGCCAAGACAAGCCAGTCACTCCTTGCAAAAAAATTGATTTTTAGTTATTAAATCAGGTTTAAATAGAAAAATGAAAGTTATAAAATGGTAAAAGAATCATTTAAATCCAACATTTTGTTATGAAGTTACAAAAAATTAAACATAACCTCTTTTCAGAGCACATTATTTGAGAAATCAGCTTTTAATATTTATGATTTCCGATATTTCTCATGCAGTGACCATCAACAAATAGTTCAAAAATGTTGTTTTAATGTCGAAAATAGGGGAAATAAACATGCTGTACAGATATATAAAGTTAAGTTTAGTGCCATAAAATAGATTTTGAAAATTTTGACATTCCAACATTATCTTTGAAACACGATTTGCAATGAGTGGCTGGTTTGGTTTGTCTTTGCCACATTTGTTAACTGTCAACTGTGGACAGCAAACACACCAATAGCAATGTGTGTAGTGAGTCTCAATGTCTGAAACATGAAGTACACTAACATAATGATATCAAGAATTACCATCATCCTGCATCCACTCTATAACTGAAGTTGGTTGTTGAAGGTTAAACATTAGCAGTTCCTTGTATCTGAAAGAAGGTTTAAAACGTTCAATTATAGCAGTGAGCTACAGGGGCGGATTTAGGGGGGGGGGCGGCCCGGCCCCGGCCCCCCTCTTGGGAGATAAAAGAAAAGAAAAAAAAAACAAGAGAAAAAGAAAAAAATGATAGCCTAGAACGCCTCAAATGTTATTTTCGGGCGTCTAGAACACAAAAAGTTCGCGGGGGCATGCTCCCGGAACCCCTAGGACATTGTTGTCTCGATCGGCCCAAATTTCGGCCCCCACTTTGGGACATCTCTGGATCCGCCCCTGAGCTATAATGAATTTAAAAGTTGGATAATAAGAGTGACTGGTCTTGTATGAATATCACCTGTTTGGACAGAAACCAATTTTGCCATGAATCAATTCAGCTGTGATTTATGTAATACTCCAAGCATGTATACTGTATTATATACGCTGATTGGCATTATATATAGTGCAATACACTAGTAATAAAGTAATATGTATAAAAATATATATTATAATACTTCAGTTTTAATCTAGTACTGCATATCGAATTGGCAGCTTTATAATTAAAATAAATAGTCTTGTGACTGTGATGTTTTTCTTTGTACATTTTTTTGGTAGTATAATTTTGAAAATTGAATTTGTAATTCCATATGAAGAAAAAAATAAATAAAGAGATCACGGATCACTTGCTGAAGGCTTCTCATGGCCTTGCGTTATCAATGGCTGAGGCCTACACACTAGACTAGGCTCGATCTATTAGGCATAGGAGATGATTGACCACTTTCTGAGACTCGACTGGAGTGGGTAGTTACACTACTCATAAACCCCAGCCAGACCTTCTCGATAAATGATAGACAGGTCAACATTGTTGTAGGTACAGCTTAATACGGAGGCCGCAATCGGCTTGGATTAACGTGTTAATATGTATATTTACTTAAAGCTCACAATTTAATTGATTCCATCATCCAAATATCAAGCGCATCCATGTCAGCGCCTATCGTCCCACACCGCGTGCGAGAATCGAAATAATGTTTCTTTCATACTACCTCTATGTATGTCTTTTGTTTACCTTAGCTTTTGACAAAAATGACGAATGCTGCCCTCAAACAAGTCTGGACGAATTTTGTTTTAATTAGACTGCGAAAAACCAGAAAACACATCACTGTAATACGAAAATTTCTGTATAAATATAAATTTAACCAGGATTCGAAAACGCACTATGCCAAAACTAAGTGGTCTACTAATCAAAATATATTACCATGCCCCTTCAAACAGAATACGATACGATTTACGATACGATTTATTGGGTTCAGATCAGCGGCACCCAACTCTTTGATGGTGCGCACCAAAGAACAATAAAATATAAACAAAGGAAATCAAAAACGAAAGTTCAAACACAAATTGATAAAATGGCCCCGAAACTGCTAATCACCGGGATGGTGTCCGGCGGGGGATAGTTTAAACAATTGTAGTTTAAGAGTAATATACTGTATTTAAGAGTAGTTAAGTTAGGGACGTGGTGGTGTTTGCATATTATATCAATGAAAATTGGTGCAAAAATATAACAGTGAAAAAAAGATTATGTAGGCTACACCAGATATTGAGCTGATCACGGTGGCACTTCGTCCCTTCTACTTGCCACGTGAATTTAATAAGATTTTCGTCACCGTTTTCGTTACCGTTGTTTATCACCCAAAATCTGACACAAAAATTGCAGCTTCCATACTAGGCCCTACGTGGTATGAGCCAAGACCAGGATCTTCATCCCCCGATGCAGTTAAGCTATTCTTAGGTGACTTTAACTCATGTAATCTGAAACAAACACACCACATTACTATCAGTACATCCATGTACCAACTAGGGGAAACAAGGTGTTGGACAAATGCTATGGGAATATTCCCAAAGCTTACAAAGCATTCACCAAAGCAGGACTCGGTAAGTCAGACCATTCAATGATCCATCTCGTGATCTCAAGACCAAACCCACAGTGAGGAGAATTAAGTGTTGGACAGAGGATAGTATAGAGGAGTTAAGATCATGTTTTGAAAGTACAGACTGGTCCGTGTTTCAAAACTCCCTTGATAGTGCTGCTGAAGAGATAAATGATTACATCAACTTTTGTGAACAGAGTATAATTAAGGAGAAAACTATTAACATTTATCCGAACAGTAAGCCTTAATTGGCTCTCAAAGGCGATTAAAAACTTGTTAAGACTGAAATTCCGTGCGGTCCTTGAAAACAACATTGTTGAAAAAAGGAGGCTACAAAAAGAAGTTAACAGCTTAATCCGGAGAGACAAGACGATATGGAGAAAAAAATCAAAGATGATTTTAAAAGCCAAAACAAGCGTGGCGAGGCTTTAAAAATGCCATTGGACACAACACAAGAAGAAGTCTGTAGCAGTACCAGAAGGAATTGATGATACGACCTTTGCAAATGATTTGAATGTATTTTTAATAGGTTTAACAATAATTATGATTTTGATAGTAATCTGAATGAATGTAGAAAGATTTTAATCAATGACACAAAGAATATACAAGCTAGAGATCAGTGTAGATGATATTGAGAAAACGTTTAAGTCAATTAAAACTAATAGCTGTTGGCAAGGATATGATTTCTGGCAAAATACAAATTGTATTTTAGAGAACTTAATTGCTCCAGTTTTTTCTGACTTATTCAACTGGTCGCTAAACTCTTTCACCGTGCCCAGTATTTGGAAAACCTCAGTTATTACTCCTCTAAATAAAGTATAAACCGAGTATGTTAAACGATTACAGGCCTGGCCCTGACTCTGATTGTAGTAAAATGCTTCGAGAAAATAATTAAAGGTATGTTAGTAAAATGAAGCTCAAATGTTCTCGGATCCGCATCAGTTTGCATATAGTGCTAAGAGAGGAGTTAGTGATGCGGTAGCAACCCTGCTACATCCTGTATTTGTAACACTTGACAATTAAGGCAAACTCTTATGCTAGAACCCTTTTCATGACTTTTCGTCTGCGTTCAATACCATACAGACTCATTTATTAATGCAGAAATTAATTACTATGAACGGTAATCCATACAGTACGTAGCTTTATGGATTTGTGAGTTCCTTTGCAACAGGAAACAAAGAGTTAAGATAGGTAACTTGCATTCAGACTGGGTAATTTCTAATACAGGACCTCAGGGATGTGCTATCTCCTCTGCTTTTTACTATACATACTTCTGATCTCGGATGTAATGCTGATTCATGTCATATAATCAAATTTGCCGATGACACATGCATTACAGGATTAATTTCAAATGGCAATGAAAATGTATATAGGAGTGAGGTAAAACGCCTTGAACAGTGGTGTGATGAAAATTACCTATGCCTTAATGTCAAGAAAACGAAAGAAATGATATTTGATTTTCGAAAGAACACTGCCAAAGATCCGTTAATGTTAAAAGACAGAGTAGTAGATAAGACTAGTGATTACAAGTACCTTGGAGTTTGGCTTGATGATAACTTAAATGGAACACTAACACACTTAAGCTTAGAACTAAGGTAAACCAAAGATTATATTACTTACGCAAATTTAAACATTTTAATGTTGGTACTGATACTCTTTTACTTTTCTACCAAAGCATGATACAATCAGTTTTTAGTTTCTGTAGTATCATCTGGTTCATGGGACTGACCAAAAAGACTCTGAGTGTCTCAGAGGCTAACACGGTCAGCAAGTAAAATAAAAGTTGTTTATGTGAAGGTGCCTTACTTAATAAAATTAAGGACATAGCGAATGACCAAACTCACCCACTTAATAAGTTCATAACAATTAGTAAATCTGGCAAAATAATTCCAACTTTAAAACGTACCAACCGTCATAAATACTCATTTCTACCATGTGCAATAAGAGTCTTTAACGAACACTTCAGTATATAATCTCTTCATCAAGCCTATCTACTGTATTACATTCCATGCCATATTCCTCATATTCCTCTCCTGACCTCACAATATAGTTCAACCTTGTTAATTCCGTGTGTAATATATTTTTATATTCATATTTAATATTATATCTGTTAATTGTTGTCTTGTATTTTATAGTGTTATAGTATTCGATTTCCACTGTTTGTTATCAACTCAAAGAAACAAATCTCGTATATATTTACTATGTATGACGAAAATAAATCTTGAATCTTGAATCTTGTCCTGGGTACGAAATTAAACTCCATCCGGTCGAAGCGTCGGCAACTAAACTGACAACCCTCTCAGATGTGTCTTAGTGGCTGCTGAGGGGAGGCTGTTTATGGTCACCCAGCAGCAAGAAAAACCAATAGCTGAACAAAGGGCGGATGAGCTCCTTGGAGTCAATGGCCAACCATTAATTAGTTTAAGGAATAGGAGTAGTTTAGTCTCATTGTTATTATGACTATTATTTTATTTTATTGTTATTATTTTATTGTTATTTTCATTTTCTCAGTTTGGTCTATATTTTTTCGTTGTAAAGCGCATAGGGGCAATGTGCAATATGCGCTATAGAAATATAACATTTTTATTATTATTATTTTTAAATTACACTAAAATATTTGTCGAATATAAAACTTCATAAATTACATTTAAGGGGAAATTCATTATGGATAGGCAGGTCAAAGGAAAGATGTCTAAAATTTGCTAAACTTGAGGTAAACATATCCCAAAATATATCAAGGTTGTATTCATTAAGTTCATTTGTACCGTATGTTCCTGGAAAAATATATCTCTAATATTATTAAATTTACAGCATTCAAACACTACTGTTTCTTTTCAACCACTTTTACATAATTTGCGAAGGCCTAGGATATGTTTAATTTGACCAGACTTCTTTGCAAACTTCTAACAAGCCAGTTTGACAGAGCTTTGAATTTAAGGGCCATTTCTGAAAAGTTACATTTATTTAAGAGGCGACTCTAAACTTGGTTCAGATTTGTATCTAATGTAGTCATTTAGAGTGACGCCTTTGTTTCAACACGATCAAACCAGGGAGGTGTAAAAATAATTTTTACATCTCCCTGATCAAATCAAATTGTATTCATTTGTTTAAAATCTTTAGTCAGTGTAGGATAAGTTAAGATTGATCTAATAAATTACAATTATTGAGACTTCTTTTAATGTTATTTAACCATTGCCAATTAGAAACGAATTAGGTGGGCGACAAAATGTATTTAATAATAATATTTCGTCGTTTAAACTCATCATTAAACACCTTTAGACCGAGAATCACGGGGTAAAATACGAAAACAACAACTTATCATGTAATAAAGACAATCAATTCGAGAACTCAACTAAACTCTGTATATTGAGTTGGTTATAGTAAATAATAAATAACGCTGAAGTTAATGTTAAAATTTGACTTTAAAACAGTCCTTCTGCAGTTGATTCCGATTTTATACAACACAAAGCGAGCGCTTTAATGACGTTCATTCATTCAACGTCGGGAGCTTATTATTATGCAAAATCTTGGTGTCACTTTTATTTCTATTTACCATCTACCTGATGTGTGTAGGTCTACTACCAATATTGGATTATTTATACACTATATTTCACAGTGGTACACAGCAACATGAAACTTACTAAATATCAAGGAGCACAGCAGACTACAGCGCTATAAACATGTACCCCGGGTTAAAGACGTACCACAGACATTTTACTACTTTACAAAAATCCTTAAATTCGCTAGTAGTCCATTTAAAGATATCTCTTCTTGGTGAAGTTAATAATTTATTTGATTTTTTTCAAAATGAGCTATTCAAAATTTTATTTTGATTTTTTAGGTATTTCTTGTCTTTTGAATGATAGTACATTTTTATATGACACCATCATCTGAAGCCTGGTTTCCACAAAATCGCTGGACGCTAACGCCGACTCCATATTGGCGACGCTGATTGGTCAACAGTTTCGGTGAAGCTGATTGGTCAGTCGAATCGCGAGCCTTTCAGATTGCGCGTCGGGGACTAATTGCAGTGACAACACGCTTCAGGGAGTGTTCCCGATTGTGTCGGGGTAGTGCAAGGGTTACAGGGAAAACGCTGTAGCGACTGTGTAGCGATTCTATGGAAACCAGACTAAAAGATCAAAACAGACTGTAGATACAGAAGATATATAACAGCACAGATTTCTATAAATTTTCCAGAATATACGCCATCTTTATTCATGCCATTTATACTAAACATACAAATTCAATTTATCACTAAAAATGAATTACATTAAATCTAAACAAATATAATACAAAATCAAAAAGATAAGATTATTCTGTTTATAAGAGTTTTCTTTTTTTTTTTAAGATTTTTTTTTCCAGAATTTTTCTTATTTTCCTTTTTGTATCTTAAATTATTTGCCATTATATATACTTTTTGTAATTACTTTTACAACAAAACATTCCTTTTCTATGGTTTGCATTAAAGCAACATATTGAGATAAGGTGGTCCCTATTCACGTACATGTTAGCGGTACTGAAATTTTGTGAAGCTATAATGGAACTTAAACTAAAATTTATACTGGTAAGTAAAGAGTAATAGTTGGCTTGTGATGAACAACAGAAGTGGTGGTTAATATCAAGAGAATGCATACACACACGTTTGGTAAAAGTTACTAAAACACCATGGCAATGCAGATCCAAAATATTAACTCTTTATGAGTACTGAAATATAACAAACTGGACAGGGGTTTGAGAAAATGTACAGTGGAAATATTTTAATACACTCTGATGATGTGCCATGTGGTGAGAAATACACAAAGCTTACATTTTACACCGATGTAAATGTTAATTTCAAACCACCCGCAAATAATGAACACTAAACGTTGCAAAAAAATAATAAAAAATTGTTTACCCTTTGAGAGTGCAGATTACTTATTATTCTTTCTACTTCAGTACAGTCTCTTTCACAAATTAAGTGTCTTCACCCAATCTAAGCGGCCACGGTTAAATACAATAACATAATAGTTAACCTCAGTAACTAGATATATAAAACATGTCAACATCACTTGAAACTTTGTTAGCATGGTCAGTTAAACTGAAAATACAGTATATTCAATATTCTTTAGTATTTTTGGGATAAAAATATTACAATTGTTAACATTGGTATTCGATCTAACATAAAGCAGCATTCAAACACGATTTAAAAGTTCAGCAAAACACAAACTACTTATCTAATGTACATATCATAGACAAAAAAGAAATGTAAAACGATTGTAAACTAACTTCTCATTGGAAACAACAGCCTTTTTGTTACAACAGATTTAAAAACAAAATACATGGTGCTATTTACAAAACAAGAGCAACAAATAGCAAGTACAGTATTTGATTTCATCTTAATTCAATTTTTGTTTAATGTCCTGTCCACACTATAAATATCTATGTGACAAGTATCTGATTTTCTCATATATGGATGACATCATCACACCCATATATGGGCATATCATATACTTTTCACAGAAAATTTGATATTGTGGACAAAGCTAAGAGTTCAAACAGCTGTAACTTGCATCATTACTAAACTGTGGAGGAACTGCTATGCAAAAATGATCCTCAATATGTTGGGGTATGGGCTTATTGGTAAACATCTAATCCACAAATTTTCATCCATGTTGTGGATACACTGAGAGTTATTGCGAGTTATGAATGTGTCCGCACTAGTAACAACTAAGATATACCGTCTGTGGCAAAATCTTTTAGCTCTGCTTACACTATCAGGTTTTGTGTGACAAGTGTGTGTGTGATATGTCCATATATGGGCACGATGATGTCACACCACAACCAAGTTAAATGTATTTTGCTATATGGAATTTAATTAAAACTGCTCATTTACAAGGAAAAAATCAACATGCAAACAAGCAGACAATTTAGGATCTATGCAATACTATAGATTATTTACACTCCATTTAATTGGTGTAGAAATTATTTTCTTATTCTAAGTAATTAATTTAAAGCTATAACTTAATTATTATACAATGGTAAGGAAATCTATATACTGATATGTCTTATCTCAGCACAGACAGTATATCTTTGAAGGTATGGAGTTGCGGCAGATTAAAATTCCAACCCCAACCACCCACTATTGAAAGGGCAGAGTACAATTATTCACAATTTTTTATCTCACATTTTAATAAAACCCATTGAAAACAATGCTAATTTAGTTTTTGAAGAAAGCTTTAAAAAAAAAGTAACTGTACACACTGAAAAGTGTTTCAAGTTGAGTTTTTCAATTGGCATTGTCATTTCTCTCTACACAGGGGATTACTTTAGAACTACTCCGAATACACCATTTTATCAGGTATATTTTAAAACAGCGCCGCCAACGTTTATGGAGGATTTTCAACGGCCGAGCCTAGCCTGAATAGCTGGCTAGTAGCAAACAGAGCGCCACGCACTGCTGTAGCACGAAATGCGTAGGCCTCTGGATGTCCTCCAGTGGTTGTTGCCAGGCTATCGGAAATTTACATTTCAAATATAGCGAAAATGGTGTACTGTATAAATTTAAAATGCAGCCGACAGTATAATAAATTAGGTAGGGTCCAAAAAACCACTATTTATCACAATAGCAGCCGACAACTAAAGGAACTTATTTATAATATTCAGGGGAAGCAAACCCTATCAAAGAAAAGTCAGTGAAAGCAACTGATACAAATATCACTAATTATGACAAAGTTTGTACTGTACCAAGATTTTCTACACTATAACAATGGCTTGCATTCTCCCTTATTCCCAAGTTCGACATTGGTTTAATTCTAGTAACATAAGGAGACACCAACAATGTGTCTCTTTAATTCTAGTAACTTAAGGAGACAAAATATAAAATTGATGCCTGGTACAGAGATATCCCAGTGATCTTTACATGTATACTAGTTACAACACAGTGATGACAATAAAGGCATACAAACTGTTACACTTAGAATTGACTACATAGAAGATTCTTTTTAGATGATAAATTCACATTTGAATTAATGATTAAGTTCTCCACAAATTGAGAAAATATTTTTGACCAATGCATATAAAAACGTATGTTTAAATACATTTCAAATTTACATACCTATAGTGTACAAGTGAAGATTAGTGTAAGCCTACTTAACTGTGTGAATTTTATTTTCCTTTTAAAATTAAGGAGTTCTTAATACAATCAGTCACATGGTTCTTGCTTGACCGTATCAACAAACACTGAGGTAGCAATAAATTAAATAAACACGGCTTAAAAATTGTTTAAACATTTTCGACCTTCGACCACAAGTCTTTTGTTTTAGATATTTTATTTATTCATTATTTAAGCACATGGGCCAATTACTGCTATAGCAAACTTAATTAAGTTACATATAGCAATTCCTAAAAACATCTAAGGTGGTGTGGAGTTTTTGGTCAATGAGAAAATATACTGCTGTCAAGAATTGAATCTAGATAGAAGCCTGGATTTGGAAGGCAAGCATGGCATTGGAGCACACTGAAAAGTGATAATGTTGGTTGTTAAATGCGCTTCACATTATTACATTTAGTCATTGGATCACAGTCCTATGGAACACAATTCAGCTCCCTTGGAGAATTCCAAAAGTAGCAGCTAGTAACCAATGGAATTTGAAAATACCAGGTAGCCACTTGTACTCCCGAGTGGAGAGACAACCATAGGTACCTTGCCTAAGTGAAATTCACAGCATGGATTCAAACCCTTCACCTCAAGGTTGAGAGCCTGAAATATATCATTTGTTGGTAATAATTGGCCCATGTAAAGCTTAATATATAATTAAATAAAATGAGTACATACCATAAATGTTCCAATATGCACTGCAGCGCTTATAAAATTTTGGGGGGCTTCAATTCTGCTATTAGAACGTGGCACACACTACAAATTATTGTAACGCTACAATGGTACCATGTATTACACACAAGCCCATCTGACTTGTACCAATGTTAGTGTTATTTAGTCTGCGAGAAATATAATTTACAAGCCCAAAATATCTGTATGTTTTAAAAAGCCCTTTTCAAAGCTTTAATAAATGAATTTGAAACCTTAACCATGGGGGTCGATTTTTTTGAACGACAAATTTATCTTGCTGCTGTCTCCTGAATATTGGTGGCAGTATGGGCAAGCGTCATTAAAAAGGATCTGTTACGCACAACTTGTTCTTCATATAATCGTGTTGGCTGGCAATGCAGTGCGTCCTGCTTTGGTGTTATTTAGATTATGAGAAATTGGACATATAATAGTGTCCCCATGGTAGGTCTCGATATAAAACCTTAGAATTATTTAGATTGTGAGAAATTGGATATTTAAGTGTTTTCATATATCAGGGCTACTGTTTAAAACATACTATCAAGCACTGCAATGCTTTTTCAAAATGTAATGATGTCTGCAGTGCTTAGCAGAAAAAAAAAGCATTAGTGCACAGCATATATGAGGTGCTTATTCGAACATTTACAGTATTCAATAAAACAATTATACAATTTAATTCTGATTATTAAAAATTTGAATTAAAACTTTCTTAATTTCAATTAGATTTAAAACTTATTTCAGCATTTTTAAATTTCTGGAAAGTAATTTTTTAATGGATTATGCAAAAAGAAAATTAAAAATGTGAGCAGAAAAAAAATCCCCACAAAACAGCTAGGATATAGAATATATAAAAGTGAATAAAAAAAGTAGCTTCAAATAGCTTTATAGTCTCATAATTTCCTCCAAGATATTATAAAACAAAATTCCAAATATTACAATGATGATGAGCAAACATATGTTACGGCAGCTAAAAATATCACCATGACAACGATACTGAGCAAGGTGCCCATGTGACTGCGTATCATTAAACACGCCCATTCCGAGGGCGCATTGATAAAAATTCATCATAACTAAGATTATATTTTTCACTTTGGTAACGAACAACACGGATTGTTTTTAGAAATTCTAATGTAACCTTGCCTCTAAAGCCACCTTTACGTAGGAGAGCCTCCAATGTTTGACGGCGGTTCCATCCTGCAAAAAAAAAAAAAAAAAAAGGAACAAATGAAACTTTTATTGTTCTGAAACAGTTTTATTTTATCTATTTATTCATTAAATAACCTAAAGTGCAATAATAACCACAGACAAAAGTGCACCTATTGGCAGCTAATTAGACATGTGAGCCTTAATGGAATAGAAAGTTGTTGAATGAGTTAAAGGTAAAGGGAGGAGAAAAACCCATAATTCATTGTGCTCAATTGCATATGGGTGTGATCCATGACTACCTAGCAGCCGTAAAGAGGCGCTTATAATAACTACATGTTAACATCATTCCACGACAGAGGCTGTGTGTACAATGAACCTCCATTTTAAGTCCTTATCTGACAAGGCTTGGTCCTACCAACCGAACCCTGAAGGATCGGCTGAAGGTTATTCCTACCTTTAGCATCTTTCACTTTAAATCTCAAGGCACATGCTAGCACAAACAATACGATAACACTATAAAATATCATTATCAATACAGTATGTCTAAGATATTGTTTGGCTCCTGAATTATAATATCCCACATACCTTGTTCAGAGGCAACTTCTGGTAGATAGGTTGCAGATTTACTAGATCCTTTTTCATTGGTAAATTCAATACGTATACCATGTCGGCCAATCTGAAAACAAGAGTTTGAACTTTGATCACAATAAATCCAAAATATGTGTTGCCAAGCACAGTTGAGAAGAGAGAATCATGATCAGCCAATAAGAAATTATTATAATAAATACAAATATGAAGCATGAAGAAAAAGTGTAGAGTTGCAGCAACTTATCATAAAAAAACATGTTTACAGGCATTGCCCTTATTCAGGTGGCCATATATACACACTTACACTACATACATAGACAACCAGCATTAATGCCATACATGTACAGTATTTTATTTTTAGCTGGTATTAAAAAAAAAATAAAAAAAAATTAAATTTTAATAACAACATATCAATAATAACATAAGGCCTAACAAAATAAATTGTTGGTTTCAGGTTCCATGGCAATTTTTAACAAGGTAGGTAGGTAGGAAAAACATTTTATTTTAAAAAAATATTTTTTTTTTTGGTTATGCGTGTAATTGTACCACAGATGGATTAAAACACTTCAAAAAGACAACTTAAAGAAACCACAACTTCACTCTTTGTCTCAATTTATTTTCTGAAAAGTGATGTTTTTGCAGCTGCCAACAATCTTTGACTTGAAAACAAGGCAATAGCATTTAACATTAAAGGTGAGACTTTTCTATACCTTGTTTAATAGCAAACGCCGCACACAAACATTGATTGCAAATAAAAATAACATATTTTTGGCCAATTAGCAAATAAGAAAACCAAATTTTATTTTTATTTTTCCCCCTTCTGATGCTCTTTGAAACAAGGAATAAAAAAGTCTTGCTTAAGTCGTGTAAAAACAGTCTCACTTTCTCCCATACGGCCTCGCTGTTATAGGCCTCAGCCCAATGTTGGTACATTCAACACATATTGGCAGCACCGTTTTAAATTTTTCTGATAGTTCGTTATTAAGTGTGGCCCCAGTGCCCCCTCAATGGCAACAGATATAGCCCCTGCCCAGCTTTGAACTGTAGTATGCCGTTTCCACTGTATCACCGCAATTTATCGACAGCTTTACATAAAGTTAACTTTGAATCCATGTCTATTGACGTCCATTGGCATTTACCGTCGTCCATCGCTTGCGGTGATGTGGCAGCATTAATTGGTAAGCATGAACATTTTCTAGGCATATTTCGATTGTTATAAATATCCTTAATGGTATGGTCCTCTTTTACAGTTAGGTATTCTCTTGTTTCTGTATGATGGGTACATTTCGAAAGTACAAACACGATTAGCCTTGTAGTCGCCATGTTGGCTAGCTACTGAATGACTGCTTGGCACGCTGCTGCTTGACGAAGACGGTGGATGATGGTAAAATATGATTATGTGTGCGCAACTTACAATGAGAACCGTGTGCTACCGCGATATATCGTGTCATCAGCTGCTAAATCGTCTTAGCAGTGGTAAACTATGGTTTTGTATGTGTGATTTACAATGAGAATCGTGTGGTACTGCTCTGTACCATATATTATCTGTAGGATCGCGTTCTATCGTCGTAGGAGGCGACGCTCGTAGGAGATAGCCGAACATCAGTTAAACATGGAATGACTAGGCTACAGAACACTATAAATCAAATCAAATTCGTAAGTGAAGACCTAAAAATATTTTATTTTCACAAAGTGTCAATAAAATGTTTATGGTCGCTGACATTGTTACCAGGTCGGTCGGGAACCGGAAACCAACTATTTATTTTGTTAGGCCCAAGATCATTTTCAACCTTCACTTTGGGCAGATTAATTTATAATCATTAGCTTTGAATCAGTGGTGGTGTGAGCATTGGTTGGGGAAAGGGGGGGAGAGAGAAATTTCCCTCTCCAATGGACCCATCCTATGCCCCTTAAGGTAACTTGGACTAAAAGCAAAATTTGCCAAGTTATAATGATTGCAGTTCCCAATATTGTGTTCTATAAACATGAACTTTACCTCAGGGGCAGATCTAGGTTCAAAATTTGGAGGGGGGGGGGGATAAAAATGTTTCCAAAAAAAGAGAAAATGTTGATCCCTAGATGGCAAGAAATGAGTTTCATTGACTACTGAGGTGACTTTAAATTCTTCAAAATTCAAGGTTTTCGCCAATTACATGAAATGAGCTTTCCCGAATTCTAATTTTCCTGTTGTAACAAAAAAAAGTTACCAGAAGATCCGCCAATGTTTACTTAATCCTAAAAAAAAAAACATTAAGAACGTAACTGGAGGCCATTAGGTGGACCCTTGGCTTTGACACACTGTGATTCTGGAGCCACCAGAGCCTTTAATGTGACAAGCTACTCACCTCCCAGTCTTCATAATTCTTAGCATCTTGAAAATGTCGTAATACTGAGACAGAGCAATGCAGTTGAGGGAGCTCTTCTTTGTTAATTGGAGGGAATCTACTATCTCGTAGAGCACTGTAAAAAAAAAAAAAAAAATTAAATTTACAACAATTGAAAAAAAAAACCTGATCTTGAAATAATTAATGTAGGCCTACATAATTATGTCAGCAATCAACAGTAATAACATCTTAATAATAATGAGAGAGCAGCTTAGCTCGGTCGGCTAATCTGGTGGTAGCCACTGTGTGCGCGCTGAACCGTGGAGATCTCTAGGTCCCCGGTTCAATTCCCATCGCTGCCTCTCCTTGTGTTTCAGCTAGAGGGCTGAAATACAAGTTACATAGTGCACTGTCTTTCGGATGAGACGTTTGTGCATTTATGGCCCATGGGCACGTTAAAGAATACAGTACACTCTTCGGAAAAGAGTAGGGGATTGTCTCCCGGTGTACTGTCCAATCACCACCAGAAGGACCCCACTGGAAAGAAGTCGTCTTCTAGACTTTCGTGAGCTATCCTTGTTGTTTACACCGAATAAATCTAATCCAATCCAACTATAATTTATATATTTTTGTTTTAATTAATTAACTTACTAACCTAATAATCATTCATCATTTATTCAAACAATTATTTTTGATTCATTTATAACTAAAAATACAGTAGATAAAACCAGAAGGATGTACAATGCATAAGTAGGCAGGGCCAGGGCTTTTTAACTGAGAACCACTGGAAGGGGTCCATGAATATAAAAAAGGGTGCCACAAGCTGTAGTTTTCACTTTAACTTGGGAATAGGTCTCAGCAATGGGTCCTACTGGCGCCATCCCTGGACGAAGAATATCAGAAAAGAGAGGTGGGCACCAAATTGAGTCCCACACAGAGATGCATTTTAGCTGGTCCTACTGTAGGCCCAAGATTTTCTTATAAGAAACTTGGGTCAACAAGCATTGTATTTACCTAGTGATTGCATATTCCTTAAGACCTTCATGCAACTGCATAGCAGTAAACGTTCCTATACAGCCTCGTAGCTTCTTCTCATTTCCAAATTTCCAGGTAACAAACACAGGACTACAAAGATGAAATTATAAAATATTAATTATTCATTATTATTATTTTGATTATATTCATTAATCATTTCAAGAATCAAATGGGTTATCAACTTCAAATTAAATACATTAAAAAATTTAATTTGAACACACATTAACAAAAAACTGAAAGTTTTAAAAGCCAGTGTATGAATGCCACCCTCAGTGTCAAAACGTCACTTTGGCCCTCCAAACCACTTTTACGCTCACTTGCAATAGGCCTATCATTGTGACTACACAAAATATAAATCAATTTCCAGCATAAAAAATTAACAAATACAGTATGAAGTCCCTCCCACTTCAGACAGAAATTTAGCCTAAAATACATTATGATACTTTCCCTGGTTTTGTGGGTGAAAAATTAGTGTGCCCCTAATAGGTGTGTTCCAAAGGAGGGGTTCCACAAATATATATAAAGCTTATTGCATGATATGGTCACCATACGGTAGCAAACCCTAAACTATTTAAAACAATGATACGCAGACCTAAACAAACGTTTTTGCTGATGTACTGACTATTTACTGTAAAACAATATTTACGGTAGGTCAAAACTCCAGCGAAAAGTAAGGGTCTATTAAAAAACCAGAGAAAACAATTACTGAATTGTAAGAGATAAGTCTGTTAAATCAGGATGTGGAATATCTAGGAGTATTGACATAGGGCAGGGGAACCTAAATCGGGTGGGAAAAGGTCAATTGGGTGTGGGTGGGGCTAACTGATTTCTGGAAGAATCAGGTAATTTTAATGTGTAATTTTTTTTGCTTAGCAAATTTTCATTTTAGGTGGGGGGAAGGGGGGGGGGGCGAGACAAGCTTTGCATTGGGGAAAGAGTATACAGAGGGAATAAAACTTCAAATCCAAGGTAGAGATGCCTAGAATCGTGACCTGATCACTATCCACCAATTTAGACTCCACCATTCCAAATAGCTAAATCTGCACAACCTCTCTACCGTACAATTTTTCTGTTTAACCATGTTTACAAGATTCACTCAATAATCAGTCAATAACAATAAAACTGAATGGCATCATGTCAATGGATATTTAAACAAAGACATTCCATTTGGATTAGGTCATCCAATATTGTTAAGCTGAAAAGAGGGTGGTTGAAAATGGTTCACTGTAGTGAATGCACTATAAATAAAACAATTGTGACTACAGATAATATATACAAAGAAACGAATACAATAAAAAACCTAGAATTTGGTTGTCTGCAAATGTTTTCACTTGTCCGTATATTATCTGTTGCTTGCTTCATTTTTACTTTGCACTGTTTTCCCTCGACATGACGAAAAGTTTGATGAAAAGTTTGAACGCCTTCCTACGCGCACCTCCATTCCCCTTGATACGCGAGTCAGTGCCTCGTCGTGCGGCCCGCCCATAGAGCTATTAAACAATTAGAGTGCTGACAAGATGATGCAGCAATTCAGAGTTATGTATGTGTACCATTCAAGATTGCTGTTGTAGTAAAGCACCACCTTCAGGCTTAGTATACATATTATTACATATTAATAACCCCTCTGACTGACTATTATTTCATTAATGATAATGAGTAATGGTAATAAGAAATTATTAAACTATTGTAGCCAAAACGAGGCCAAGTGGAGCATCTTATTCAGAAATAAAGTAACAAGGAAAGAAAATTAAAATCGAATACATTGCAGTTAGCGCTCTAGCATTCTTATTATATCTCTATGGGCCCGCCACAGTATAAATAACACGCGAGAGGGCGCCTCAGTTCAAGTCTCAGACCAAAACGCAAGAAAACATGTGATTCGGCGAATGCAAAATGGCCGCGCCCGTGACAACAATGCAGTAAAGTTCGGGAGGCAAAAAAAGATTACTTGAGGTGAGGTTTGGGTCCAAAATTTTTGGAACGGGACATGATGGAACATCGTAGGCTACCCTGTAGCTTCTGAAAAACAATAATGCTGTGGGAAACAATGGCTGGATCTCAGTAGAGATACAAAAATGATAAGCAACAGCTAAAAAGTAAACGTAAGTAAAGAGCCAGAAATAGAACCAGAGCTTTCGGACAACACTAGTCCTTCCTCAGTGGCGAGGTGAGCATTGGGCT